CAAAAATCCAGACACTCCAAGTTAAAAGTGTTCATCTTCCACACTCATACATGAATGCATATAATTTCTGCACTCCTGGGTGATGAATGAATCAACTATCTACAGTGCAGAAACAAGCAGAATTACTGAATTACTTTTTCTAAAGAAAAATGTACTCTTTAACTTATTAATCACACTTGCTTTCCATGACAAGCACAACCAGGGTGAGACACTGTCAGCCTATTTAGTCCTTTGGATATCAGGCTAGAGGTGCCACTGACATAAAGGTGTTGCCCTAGTAAAGGTCCTTAGATATATGGTTGTCTGCTGCTATTTGAGCATTTACTGCTGATTGTAGTTTCTGGGTCACACATTTTGCTGTAGGCAGTGAAATACCACTGTAGTCAGAGCTATTAAAAACCAGGCTATCAATGTGTCCTATGTTAACATTAACTCAGTTAACCTTGATGACCTCTTTGGCAGTTGAGCAGTATTTAATTTATTCTCCCTCCTGCCTGCCAGATGAGTGGTTGCAAACGTAAAACAGAATCTTGGTTATCTACCTCACTTAATTTCTCAATACCACAGTGTTTCATAACTTGCTTGTATTGTCCTCTGCTCCTCTACAGGACTTCTGTCTGTTGGAGATGTGCTGCATCAACATTATCATCCCTGAGGATACACATCAGTCTGTCATGTTGGAATTTATCGAAAGCCTTCTCAAAGTCAGCAGAGAAACACAGAGAGAAATCCATTTGTACCAATGTATAACATCTGAGGCTTAGGATTACTTACTTTCTCCTGTCTGCTGATCATAACTGATTACAGGCTGACTACTATCGCTTTTTCTCAGACTGTTGCTCTATCTTCCTTCAAGAATTTAAAAGATTTTAAGTCATAAAATTTCTAAATTCCTTCCTTCTCCTGCCTTTCTTCAACAGTTTCCATAATTTTCAGAATCCTGTCACTAACTTTGTGGTTGCTTAGTTTTGTATCTTTTAATTTACCCTCACAATGAGGTGGTTTTGTATTCCAGAATTTGGAAATACCTTCAGGTTTTTTCTGTGTTTTTACTCTCTTCTGTTTAATGAATCTCCCCCTAGAAGTCTATTCCTCATGTTTGTTTCATTTTAATTTTGAATCTACCTACAAAAATTTGAAGTTTTCAGTTTTACATTCTGTCAAATTTAACCTCTGCTAGAGAATCTGCTGGTCCCACAAAGAGAATGAAATTTTTGATATTGCAATATATTTGATTTATTGCAAGACCAGCTTTTCTGTTCAGCTGGGATGATGCTGAAACAAGACATTCTAGATAACAGGAACATGTCTATTGTTTGCAAATTGAATCAACCTGCTTTCCCTTTTACTCTTAAATACAAAGTTGGGAATTCCCAATGACACTATCCATACAACTGCTTTATTTTCTGGCACTATAATCAAATTCTCCCAGCCCTTCCTCTCTTTATCTGCTTCTCTTGCCACTCTCTACCCAGTTCTTTATAAGAACTATTCCTTACATCTCCTTGGAAGATTTCCAAAGGGCATAAAAAATTAAAACTCCAGATGGCAAGGAATATAATCATATGCAGATCATGTTCCCAAAGTACTCATAGCCAAGGGTTTTTTTTTCAGTTTGATTTGGGGTTTCTTGCCTTCAGGGTTTTTGCTGGTTTTTTTTTTGCTTGTTTGTTTTGTTTCTTTTTTTTCTCAAAATCCTGTGTAATATCTTAATTCACTTAAAAGTACCATATCCTAAACATTTCCTGGTTTTAAATGTTTCATTTCACAGAGTTTCATACAGATATGTTTTCAAGTGTTTGTTCTTGGATGTTTTTGGAAGCTGTTTGATTTATTTTACAATTAATATTTATACCCCATATGGTATTTTTCACTCATTAATTCTGCACCCATGTTTTGCATACCAGATTTTACAGAAGGGAATCACTAACTTAGATCAGTTTCTACAGATGGATAATTAACCCCAAATTGGTAATTTAAAAATCATATTAAGAAACCCAAAGCCCATTTTTCTTCCGTTTTCTTGGAAGTGACTATTGAGTTTCAGTACAGAAGAAGGTTTAAAAAGTTTCTGTGGAATTGTGGAATTCCACTAGAAAAAAAGGAAATTAAGAAAGTCAAAGAATAAGAAAATTCAGTGTGAAGATGATTCATCTAAATGACTGCAAAATTTTCTAGAACTGGTAAAACAACACTGTTTCCTTTACTGACATTCTTTCATATTGCTCAACCATTTCAATTGAAGCCACCCAAATGATTCAGCTTGAGGCTGACACTCAAAAGTCAATCCAAATGTTTTAAGTCTGGCAAAGGTACCAGCATTTAAGAAGAGGATCTCATACCACTAAGCACTTGGCAATCTGAGCTAGAGGCATCCTTTTTTGCCAGAACCATAACCACTGCCCTGAAGTGGCTGCACTTCAGTGCCAGGTGACACAGTCTCTATGCTCTGCTCTGACTCAAGCTCTGCTCTGACTCGAGCAGCACTGATTTCACTTATCAGAAAAAAAAAACTTCCTTCCCTAACAGAAAAATTAATCGCTCACCTGAGCTGGTGGAAGCTCTGTGCTCACCAATATGGAGAGTAAAGCTGGGAATCATTAGAAAGCCTGATGTGCAATAGGAGCTGCGTGGTCCCTGGTGTGATCTTCTGTTTAAATGGAGCTACGACCCCTTCTTTCAGAATTTATTTGCCCTAACAAAGAGGAAAAAATTCACCAGATTGATTTATAGTATTTTTGTGACTACACACAAATTTAGGAAATCCCTTCTGTGGAGGCTTCAACAAGAATGTACATCTAAATGAGGAAGCTGTAAGCAGCATTGTTTATAGGAGAATAGAAACTCCCAAATGGTTTGCTGTAGTTAATCATTACCATATTAAAATACTGAGTAGGAAACGCCATTACAATACATGTTAAATTGAACATGGAAAGAAATAAATAGAATTTGTTATTTGCAGATTTACTCTGTGAAAAATATTGCTTGGCGAGATCACACTGCACACCTAAAAGGAATGCTGAAAAGTTAGCTAGACACCGGAATGCAAGGTGAAGAATAAAAAAATATGCAGGAAAGGAATTTTGTCCACTAATTAAGAGTAGTGGATTGTAACAAGATTCCTGGAGCCCGGCACTCCTTGCATAAATCTCTTGAACAAGCACTTTCAAACAAGGGCATCTCGAGTTGATTTACCCTATCTGGATTCATTTTGGATCACTGCACACCTGCTGAAGCAGCCCTACAGCAGAGTTCACAAGAGAAGCTGTCAGGAGTGACCTTTGAGTGCTGCTGGAAGCTCTCTCTTCTCCCCCAAAGCTGAGCAGAACCAGCTCTTGCAAGTGTTGTTCTCCCGATTTGGTCTCCTCTTGTTCACTGAATGAATGCACTGATGGGATGCCCACATGAAACCACCATGGGAAGTTTTGGCATTTAACGAGTGTAGTAAGAAAGTGATTCAAAGGGAGGCTGAATTGAAATCAGAACTCAGGATGTCTCCCCAATGGCCGTGGCACATACCAATCCCCCCATCACAGATCATCATAGTTGAGTGGGGATGATAATTTTTGACATGTAATTTAAAATACAGAACTGTCAGGGCAGAAGTTCCTGCCTCATGTTTTAAATTATCAAGAAAAAGAGCCTTTCTATGACTTCATCATACAAGCAAGAAACAATGAGCACATGAGTTTTCTTGGGTATTTTGATAGCAGCTGGGATGCTCACCTGTGTTAAGTGACAGACAGTAAGACACAATTTTTCCTGCTTCACATGCTTGAGTTTCATGCTCTTATCTTTCTAACTGAATAACTGTCATCTTTCTCAAATCAGTTATATTGTTTGGATTAAGCCTAACAGGGTTCTTCTGATTTTTTAATGTGTTTTCCATGCTATAAACAACAGTAAATGCCCCTTCCAAAAATGGCTTACATAGACCTGACTGAGGATTAATCTTTCATGGTAAGCTAAACAAACAACAAAAAAAATAATCTTGTCTTGTCATTCCAAAATTGCAAAGGCATTTTTGAATTTTGGAACTCGAATTGTCAGCTAAAAGTAAGGATAATTAAATTATTTTTGTGCAGTTTGTCACTTTGTTGATGCTTTTGGCAAATTTTTGCACCTCCAGAATGCTTAGCATTTAGTTCACTGACATAAGCATCACATATGAATTCCTATAATTGCTTTTAGCTAATTTCTATATGTAGAGAGCTTCCTTACAATAAAAATGTAGTTTTTTTAGGGGCATGAAATGCAGAGGATGTATTTGGACTCTCAAGACTCTCTAGGATGTTTCATTTGAGATGTGAAGATGGAGGAGGGTAGTTTATGCAGTTTTGGCAATGTATGGAGCAATCCATCCAGTATCACTGTTTTAAATGTCTGGGATGCAAATACAAACACACTACAACACCCTCCATCTCAGCTCCAGTCACAGATTATTCCTTTTGGCTCGGTGGGATCTACCTGCTTCACAATGAATGGTTTTTATGCTCCTCATCAATAAATTAGCTCAGTTGTTTTCCAGCTGTCAATCCTTCTTTAAGGTTAACTGCTAGGGGAGACAGCAAATACTTGAGTGTGCAGCACTGTGTGGTGCTGAGTAATGACTGCAGCTGTCACAGCCCAAACCAAGGGTTTCTGTGGGGTATTTTTTAGCTGATCATGGAAACCTATCCATATGTGTAGGAGGTGAGTTATGTAACTTCCTCAGTGTTTTGATCAGAAAGGCAGCAGAAAGTTCGCATTTTAAAGGCAAAGCAATCATTAGGAGCTTTCCCTCTTGCATTGGGACACTGCGAGAGCAAACACTACTTGGGAACACCACGAGCTGAGGGTGCAGTGAAGCACAGCAGGAACACATCAGAACACACATAGGCTTTGCACAGCCAGTGGGAATATCACTCAGAATGGAACCATGACTACAGCCCTGAATTAAAACCATAGAGAGCATGCAGGTCTTGCAAACCAGAAAGAGAAACAAACAGTAAGGCATTTACCTTCCACATCAAGGCACCTAGGTGGGCTATCTGACCAGATAAGGTTATACATGCACTCAAGGATCTCTGCCCCTTCTAGTTTATATCCAGGAAAACACTGATAATACACCACTGTTCCTACCGGGAAGGAGGCCCCGAACTCAGAAATGTTAATGTAACTATGAGGAAGAACCAATGGCCTAAGGCAACCTGCAAATTAAGAAGAGGGAGGTTTCTTTTATTATCAACTGCTTATCTCAGTCATCTTCAGACATCTCAGTTACAGTTTCTAAATTGAGGAGTGTGATATTTTTCATCCTCTCCATTATGAATGGCATGTTTGCATGATCTCCCTCAGATAGATCTTTCTCATGATCCTGTTTCAAACCCTTTTGTTGTTTAGCCCACATGCTTTGCTAGCGTGGGCTTCATTCCCAACAAATCCAGAAAAGGTTTTCTGAAACTGACAGCATTTTGTTTAACAAACATTCACCATTCCAGCAGATGACAATCTCTTTTTGAAATAGAATCTTTAATAAATAAAGATTGTCATTTATATAAATGGTGAGTTTTATTCTTCCTCCTAAAAAATGACAGGCATGTAAACTCTCTTAAATATTAAAACCGCTCCTGTGACAAAGTGCACGCAACTGTAAAAGATTTGCAGGCAGAATTAATGACTTTGAAATTCTAGTCTGAGAAAGTCTAAAGGGACATGAATTCCTAGGAATAAAAATATAAATATTGAGTGAGGTCTCAGACTAGGTTATCAAAAAGTTAAGGTATCTGTTATCATCACAAATTGTAAATGTAGTCAGAATCAGAGAGTATGTTCCAGATCTACTTCTGGAATTACTCCTGAGGGATTTGTATCATGGCTGGTATACTGAGCAGTGACAGTTAAATGGTCACCAACCAAAATTTGGGGCAACAAAAAGCAGTGAATTTAACAGATGGCATGTCTTTAAAACATGTCCATTCCTCATGGCCCTATAAATGACCCTCTGGGTAATGCTTGATACAGTTTAATTTTTTAATTTGCAATAATATGGAGAAAAGATAACTAGCAATCATGGAATGACAAGTAATGTCTTAGAATTATGTGACTAATGGAAGCTGCATTATGGCAGTCCATAAATGAGTCTCGCTACTACTAGGAATTTGTGAAGGATGTTCATAGGACTCCCATAATTTTAAGCTAGAGGAGGAAACAAAAATCAGTCTGAGACCTTCTTGTAAGGCACTGGCATTTAAAACAAAAATCGGCAGCAGCATTTCAAGCAGCCATTTCCTTGCAATGGTCTTTTGAGGGAGAGGAACAAACCCAAAAGAAAATAAATAAAAAGCTTGAAAGCTTTTTGCAGCATGCTGTACCACCAGAGCAACGATTTCAATAGCAGTTGAAGCAGCTGGTTATATCCCTCTCAAATAAAGCTTCAAGCATCCTATCTGCTGGCTGCTGCTTCTACCCTGATCAAGAATGCCCCACACACACCACACTAATTCCTGCAAACTGAGCAGCCCATCGAGCAGGATGTCATAAGCAGCCTCCAGTGGGACAGAAAGAGCACAGGCTGCCCAAGCAAGACCAAGCTTACTCTTCTCTGAACTGTATCAGGGAAAATTTGGTCCTGCTGGCTCAGAATTTTAATGCTCATTATGTTCCTGGTCATGCAGGAGAGAGATTTATTTGAATTTGTATGACAGCCAAGCATTTGTGAAAATTCCTAGGTCTCCAAACACTGCTTGAAAAACTTCATTTTGACATTTTTTTTGCTAAGTAACATCTTTCCAGACCAGTAATTAATATTATTATCTCATGGCAAAAATAGAGGTTAGATTCTTATATACTCCACAATCCTTCCCCACTGCTCTGGCAGGAAAAAAAGGCATCTTAGTGTCATAAGACTCCCCTGCCTTCTGTAATGAAAGGGCCATAGAAATGTAACTGACAGCCTACCTAAAGTAAGTAGACAACTGACTTTGATCTTACCAGTGCGTGACATGTCAAAAAGAAAATTCTGAAATTCTGCAGTAACTTTATGGAATTTGGCAAATATGGCAGGGTCTTGAATATGAACTGCCTGTTCTCTGCCTACCCAGTAATCACAACACCTGGGTCTTGTGCAATTATTTCTTAACTTTTATTAGCACTGCTTTTATTTTGAAAAGCAGTTAATATTGACTATTGAGTAGGAGTAATTGATTGTGTTTCACAGTATAAACACAGCAACAGAAGTAACAAGCCAAGGGATATTTGGGGTACTGCAGCTAACTTAGTAAATACTGCCTGTCAAAAAGTTTGCCTCTGGATCTTTGGCAAATACAGCATCTGAAGATCAATCTTTTAAGCATTCATCTCCTCCTACTGCAAAAGTTTTAATCTACCTAAATTAGATGTGAAGCGCACCCCCACAGAAAGGGGCTGTACACTTCATACTGCCACACATGATGCCATCGCTGATAAGACGCCCCAAAACTGGCACCTGCTTTGCTATGGTTTTGCAAAACCTCCCCTTTGCTGTTAGGCCTGTTCAGATACAATGTGTGCATCTAAAATGCTGAGCTAGCCTGATAATATGTCTAAGTTTCTGCCCCAGTGGAGGGCAGGATCTTGGGGGACAGTCTGATGTGCTACTGCTCCCGAGAAGTGTCTCAGCTCCCCTGCCTGCCTGCCCTGACTCTGCAAATTGGTGTGACAGTGTAATTAAGTGCCTACAGAGAACTGTTAACTCTACAAGGGGACAGATGGCTTTGAAGAAAGTTGGGACTAACCCAGTCTGCTCCTCAGTTAGAATCTCTTGCTGCTGTTCAATGGGCCAAGCTTGTTACCAAGATGTGGCTTGGTTAAAACAGAGTCAGTGGTACTCAGATGTGCTTATTAGAAATGTGAAGAGAAAGGGAGCCCAGGGTTATTGAATTTCCAGTCACTAAAGCTGGCTTACACCCAGTCATTTCTCACAGTCTAAGCTGAGCTGGGATCCCATGCTGTTGATATTTCTAGTTCTACAGCTAGAACTAGAATGGCTTTTCTGGCCAAAATCATACCTGTGCACACCCTGAATTTTCAGTCAATATGTAAAGGTTTAATGGACTGTGAATCTAATCAACAGCTCTGCTGAAAACTCCGACAGAAGAACAGATTCCAGTTTCTCTCCTCTACCCTTGCCTTCTACACAAGGTAAAGGAAGATAAAGTGCAGTTAGACGCTTAAATATTTCCACAAATTAACTGGTGAAAAAATGCAAGATGCCCATCAGAACTTCTGACTAATTACCTTGATTGTTTTTTACTTTTTGATGCAGTGAATCTGTGTCAGATCTGAGCTTTGCAAACAAAAAGAGCAGTATTTAAAGTAGTATTATAAGCACGGGAATGTTCAGGAAGCAACATCTTTCCTGCAGTGAGCAAATCAAAGAAATCTTAGCAGCAGCACTACTCAAACACTGCACTGTGGAGCTTATCAGATCACTTACATTCTTACAACTGTAGGAAAAAATATTGGCAAACTATCACAAGATGCATGAGCTATAAAACAGGACGTGCTGGAGTACTAAACCTTGACATATGGGTAGATTATCCCATGTTCCATCGTCTTGGCATATGGAAACCATGTTGTCTAAGTCAGGGTAACGGATCTGGAATCCTTCATGACAGCTGATTATTAACTTATTGCCAGTCCTGTATGTCTTGTTATGAACCTCTGCATCTTCAACATGTGGAACAAGGCAATCTGTGACTTCATGAGAAAAAGAAATAGTAACTTAATTAAAAAAACACAGCTAGCTGTTCAGTAAACAAGCTCTTAAACAGAAGTAAGCATTCAATCTAAGCGCTCTGCTTAAACTGTTTGGAAAATACATACATTTCAATAAAAGTGCCTTTTCCCTAGTAAAACCACCATTTTACCAATTCTATAGCATGGTAGAAGAAGCTGATGTGCTACAATAATGGATTGTTCCCCCAGCCTCTTTAAAATCAACAAAATTAGGAGCCTTTAGGAAGGCTGTGGTCCATTTTGGCCCTCCATTCATCATGTGTGCAATTATACCCCAAAGTCTGACTATCCCAAGGTTCCATGCAAAGGCAGACTCTGACAGCACTAAGGACAGGATGAAAGAAAAGATAAAATACAGATATGGCATGAGGACCACAGAAAAGCTGCAGTTTTAGCAGAGAGACAGATGAAAATCAGGTACATTTACAAGGGTTTATACAGCTCCAGGCCACAGAGTTTATTATGAGAATGCCTTCACTTTAATTTGCATGATTATGTTTTAAACCAGATAGTTTTGTGTGCCTGCATTCATATGCCTTTAGAGGGCATGATTTTTAGCATCTCGCACTCTGAGCAGCATCTTGAGTGCTTGTAGAAGATTCTCAAGAACGGACTGCAAACCTGAAGTGATATACAGGGATGGGCCCTAGTGCCTGTCTGTGACACATGCATCAGACAGTCACAGATCTCACTCTAGATATCAGTGCCAAAGACATCAAAATACAGAATGAAACTCAGAACACTGAAAGGTGTACAAAGTGGAAAGGGAAAGCAGGGGGAAAATCCCCTAGTAATACTGAATAATTGAGAAAAAAAGCCAAGAGGGTCTGAGGGAATAATCTGAGTGACTCAAAGTTCATCCTCCTCACAAAGGCAAAGTGAGATGAAATGAGATGAAACAGATATTGGGAGAAAAATTTTGTTTATCTGCCAGCAGTCAATCCATGACAGACATGATAATAAAAGTTTCCAGGCATCAAAATCTAAGAAATATTTCAAACATAAGAAAGACAGAAAAAATATTATAAGCCTGTGTTATTATGTTTTATTCCCCCAACACCTCTACCATGAGAGACAATTTTATTCATTTAGGAATACTGTATTTATTAAGAAAAAAAGATCCCTTGAGACTTGCATAGAAGCAAAAGTATCTGCCATTTTCATGGGTAATTCTTGTTAAAGAGGAAGAGGCAAAGCTAAATTTGTATTTAGCAATTAATTGTCAGTATGCACTAAGCAAAGTGATAGTGACAGCTTGTTTGTTTCGAAGCACAAGTAGAAGGAAGATAAACTGTCATTTAGTACAGCACTCACAAACTACTAAGAGCAAATGTATTTTGTAATGTTTTTATTTAGTTAGGCAAACTGAGACTCCATCACTAAATTTTACTAACCTGAAGGGGGACAGTGTTCCTTCCCCAGTTAAAACATACTTTGTACCTTCTCATCACAGGGATGTTTCTAAAAAACATTTTATTTAGCTAATTTTTTTATATAAGGCCTAGCACATTATTAGTTAAAAATTCTTCCATTTCTCTTATTACTTTTTAGCTTCTTGGCAGCTGCTGTAGGTGCCTCCTGCTGCTGGTAGCAGGAAGGGCTGGCAGCCTGCTAGGCAGGCTGAGAAACTGCAGCAAGAAGTTTTCTTGGAATTTATTTATTTATTTATAAACGCAGAAGTCTGGGAGGATCCATGCCCTAACTGGAGGTTGTAAAATACACCGGCGATGGTGCAGACATGACTTTCAAAGATGGAACAGTTTTCTCTCTCTCTATAAAGCTAATCAGCAGAGAAGACAGCAGAGGATGCCTCAGAAGAAATGCCCTCTACTACTAAGCCATAAATGCTGTCATAAAGAGGCTGTCCCAGGCACCCCATGAGGATGGGATGAGATAGATGCAGCTTGGCAGCCATGCAGCAGAAGACTGGAGATGGATGCCAGAAGATAACGTCAGTGAACATCTCCCTCGCTTTCTACCATGTCTTTCTGTTGCTATACAAATAAAGGTGGTGTGTGTACACACAGCACAGTAAAACATGAGATTTCCCTTTCAAAGTGGGGGAAATTGATTCTGTAACAATGATCTATCACAGCAACTCCATCCCTATTATTCCAAGGAACAGCTGTAGATGGGATCATTTTAATCGGGTACATGTTGGCAGAGAATGGCGATAAGTTGCTCACTGCACCATCCTCCACCTGCCACATCCTGGCTGACTCTGATAACAGGCTTATTACAAGCCCCAGCTAAACACCAGACCAATGGACCACAATATTACAGCTCTTTTTCCTGATGCCTTGCAAGCAAATGCCTTCCCACTAGCTGAATTCATATTTAGCACTGAGGCATAAACTGCATTAGCCACCTCTCCACAAAAAACTGGATTAGCTAGCACCAATTCTGCTTGGAAAAGCTAGAAGGAAGTGACTGAATTTTAAAATGTCCTGTCCTAGAAAATAAACCACTTTATTCTAAGTCCTTCTCAGCAAATCCATGGAAGCTGCTAAACCATTTATGGGAATAAGGGAAAGCATCGAGCAACAAAGGCTATGACTTACACTCCTTTCTGGCAGTTTTACATGATCTGCTTATATCTACTGTGTGCATATTAAAATGGGCCAGCCAAAAGAACACATTTCTTATCTTGCAAGGGCAGAAACAGGTGGGGTAGAGCCAACAGGCTCAACAGCCTGATAGGCACAAGGGCTCACATTGCCCTAACTTTCATGAAGATTTGTACATTAGCAACTCTTGGCTTTAGCAAACCAAGTGCGTCTCCCTCACAGAAGATTGGTCTGAATAATAAAATTGGTTAAAAAATACAGTTAGTGTTTTGCTCAGGTGCAAACCATGCAGAACCTCTCAGAACTGTTCTTTCTACCCATGGGGAAGGAAGATCACCCTATCTCCTCCCAAAAGCATTTGGACCACAAGAGCAACTTAGAAGGAAGGCATGACCTAGAGACCATGGAGATAGCTACAGCATCCATGGGTACCAGCTGGCCTGGGAAGGCTTGTATCTATTGCAGGTGAGCCCTTATCATCTAAAAATTATCCCATGTCCATGCTAATCCAGGAAGGTGCTGGAATATTTACTTGGGAATACTGCCCTGTGGATATTGGCCCAAACTATGTCAAGGACCTTTACAACACTGTAAGAGTGTGTACAATTGAAGAACTGCGTCCTAGTCCCTGCTCTGGCACTGTTTTGTTTGCTATCTGTATGTAAATTCGAATGCAGAGGTCTGGTGCTCCTGTGTGGACAAGTCTCTCTCTCAATTAGCCTTGACTACATTGAGTCACACCACTGGCAGGCTGGAACAGAGAGAAACAGGGAGGAAGGATGAAAAGAATATCATGAAAAATTGGTCAAAGACAAAGCAAATGGAGGGCTAAATGTCCTGCAGGAAAGCTGTAGCCAAACCATGTACTAGTGCACTACTTTCACTGCAGGTTTATCATCCTTGTGATTAGGAGAATGAGGCACTGAGAACATCTCCAAGCTTGCCTGACTGAGGAGCACAGGGAGAGCAGGGCACAGCTCTTCACTTCGATGCCATCTCCATGCAGACTGTAAATTTAGATTCAATCTCATAGGAAAGAGTTAGCATTTGTTCCAAGTAGGCCAACAGCCTCAGCAGCCACATTATCACAGTGGGAGATTAAAGTGTGAACAACATGACATACTGCTCTTAAACAGTAAATACAAAATTCCTACCTCAGAGGTTTGGTATTTATGTGCATAACCATATTAGAGCTGATGAAAGATACAGTCACACCATGCTGTAGACCAACATAAGAACAAAAGATTTTTGACATACAGATTTTTGACAGGGCACTTATTGGGCACCAAGTCATGCAATTTCATTTTCGTCCTGACACTTAAAATCTCCCGCCTCTTAACAAGAGATGACAGGCCTATAAAATCAAATAGATTGGGTGAAGAGCTCCAGGCAAACATATTAGATCTAAAATCAATTACATTCTGAAACAGGTTGCTTTGCTTCCTTTGGTAAATAGCATCGATTTGTGATTAGAAACTGTGCTAGTAAACACATAACAATTAAACGTACATAACATATAGACATAAAATTATCCTTCTCCGAATCCAAAGTCCTGAGAGTACATGAATTCCAAAGTACAGATTGTTTTCACTGTTCAAGCTCAGCTGACACTGCCTGACATTTATATATGCTGGGATGAGAGGCATGTAGAGCATACCATAGCCCACAGAGCAGCCAGCCCCCACCGTAAATGGTAAATGCAGCATAAAGTTTATTTCACCTTGTGATAGGTAATGATGAATGGGAAAACATCAACTTCTCCTTTCTCCAGCAGTTGCTAGAAATTTCAAATTTCTTTCTATGTATCATTACAGAATTTCTGCAATGAAGACTTTTATGTATGTCATTAGACAGCTGAGAATCACAAACCCTGTTGTAATTCTCTTAACTCATCTCCAGATGTGCCACGTTCCTACACTGTCTGCCTGCCTACCATGGCCCTCTCTCAATATTCTACTCTCAGTGTGCAAAAGGATCCTTCTAAAAATCACTTAAGCCAATGCCTAGGCCTCATGGACTGCCACTGAGCCTTTGCTTAGTATTTCTTCTGAATCAGTGCTGCTATTGTGCATTGAAAAGAAGAATTAATGCTGTAATCTAATACCTGAGGTACTATTATAATGTTAATCAGTGTTAAGCACTTGATTCACTAAATCCTAAATCAGGGTCCTACTCTTTGGTCCAAGTAATAAGAAGCACTTTTGCATCTGCCTAATTTTGAGCATAGAACTTTAACAACACTAATCACATAATTACAGTTATGCTCCAGCTTAAGTGCTTTGCTTGATCAGAGCATTGGCTAGCAATCCTTTTTAAGCGTTCTATGCTGGAAAGTAATTATTATCTCCAAAGCAACTGTTGTCACATCATCTATCACATTCTCATCTTCCAATTTCATTCCTTTTTAAAAACACCTGGCCTGAGTGTTGATCACATTAGTGGCAGTTTTGTTGCTGATGGCATTGTGATCAGAAACTTCTTCCACAGATTTCCACTGGGCTTGAGGGAAGAGGTTTGAATATTTAACAAAACACATTAATGCTTATTTTAAAAACTGCAGTGGATGATACAGGCAACATTTCAAAGATGCACATCAACATTCCTAGCTCCCTGCTGTGCTTAAGGAAACAGAATTTCCAAGCATTAAAGCTTTTTTGGTAGTTCCAATAGGCAATTTAGACACAGGCTGCTGTCACTCTCTATGTATTTTTTCATAAATAACCATGAGATGAGAGACAAGGTAATTTATGAAAAGTGGCTGTCACAGAAGAGGGCACGATTTCCATACATAGTTATTTTTAAAGGCATCAGGTTATTTCTTTGAAGCTGACCCATGGGGCCATATGATGAGGTGCTGTTGGCACCCCTTTTCCTTTATTTCTAGACATAGCTGTCACCTGATGGGACAGCTCACTGTGTCCCTCATGACTCTGTAGCCCATGGCCTCATACTTGTCCAGGAGAACATATTTAACCAAAATTTCTCCTGCCAACAGCCCAGCTGCCTGAAATCCCAACAACAGCTCTACAGCATATGCACTCCTTACCAGCTGCCCCTGGCTACTCTCTCCAATATCTCATGCACCACTTTCACACTGGGTACTGTTTAGGGTTGTTCCCTTCACATGCACCTCCTGAGCGTGGTCTTCCCAGGCCCTGCTTATCCCTGTCATGTCACATCCCTATCCTGGCACAGGATTCTTACACCTACCCCCCTAGGATCACAAACAAGTACCTGCAGTTTTTATAAAGACTAAGTGATGCATGATCCTATGCAGTAAGTGTGTTTGTGAGCCACAGATGTCTTCAACTACCTCTGAATAAAGTCCATGTATTTATTTGATTTTAAATGGTGAAAGGTAACCTGAAGTAGAATTTATCTTGCTCCACCATGAAGACAATGAAGAAATGAGGGAATGGCTAATGTCTTCAGTGGAGAAGTCACAACACTAAAATGTAAACACTTTATTTAATCAAAACTTCTCATGTCTGTTGACTTTAATAGTTCTGTTGACCAAAAATAAATCAACAAGGACAGGTTATATCTTTAACATACTTGGTGAAATAAAAAATTTGTGCTGCTTGGGTGTACTTTGGCCAAAATTTACAGTTATGAAATTCAAATCAATCCTGCCTCTAAGACCAAAAAGAAGAAAGCAATGTAACATCCTAAGTATTTAAAACCAAATACAGTTTCAAATATATAATAAAAATAAATTGGTTTATGCCATAATAGTCTGAATTATCTCAGAGTAAACTTCTACCCTGGCTTTAATCTTTTGCAGGCTCTGTGTATTCAATTTTGCTACTTGACTCATGCATACATCACCAAATACTATTGTTTAAAATGCCTGATTAGCAGGAGCAGTAGCACTGGAAATTGATTGTATTTTCCTAGTAAAATATTGGAGAAAGGAATATTAAGTGGGCAGCTTTAATAAATAGTTACAGTTAACTTACAATGGAGGTTGTTTTTCCTCTCTGCATCAATTTGTAGCTAGTTAAAAGCGGAGGTTAAATCCTGTTTTCACATTTCTTTATGTTCCTTTCAACACACACAGCTTCTCCTGGTACAAATTTAACTGACAAAGGAGGATTATGGATGGAAAATTAAAGTATGTATCCAATAAGACACAGTGAAATGGACTCCAGCATTTTGTTTTGTCCAGAGACACACAGACATGGTACATGGACAAGTGAGAAGAACTGACGTGGTGAACAGCTTGAAGAAAACTGACTTACCTTCTTGTAGGCACACAGGTTTATCACTGGGTTTCCAGCTCAGGGAGCCATTGAAGTGTCTCACACAAATTTTTTTGGAAGAACCATTGAGCCTGTATCCTTCTTGGCAATGGAAGCGGACCACCACGCTTTCAAAGAAAACACCCGCGCTGGGTGTCTTGTAGCCATGTTCAGGAGCCCCAGGATCAGCACACGCTTGCAGGTCATCAAATCCTGCATCAGACAAAGATACAATCCAATTGTGCTCATTTACTCTTCATGTTTTTTTCTGTCTGTATCCATTATCTTCACGAGGACCTTGTACCTTCCATATTGATCACTAGCAACCCTGCTTGGGTGCCAGCTACTCCAGGGTTGGGCGAGGACCCACCCCCAGCTGAAATGCTCAGGCGACAGAAGTACTCCTGTCTTTTCATGCAGCTACTGGGGAAGCAAAAGTCAATCACACTCCTCGGTAGCTGCCCTTGGTAAAAATAAAGCACTTGACCCAGCCTACCAGTGGGGATTACTCAGTAATGTGTCTGTAATTACTTCTGGGGACTGTAGGAGTTTGGAGGCCTCGTGCAGCCACTGGTAAGAACAATAATGTGTCAGAAGCAGAGAGGAAGAGGAAATAAAAGAGCATGAAACTTAACTGCCATCCAAAGACAGAGTAATTGAAATAGGAGAATTGCTAAGTACAGGGAGATTTCAAGATGGGAGGGAGATTTGCCACAGGGGAAAGAGACACTGTGGCATTGGATGAATGTAACCCCCTTATCTCTTTGGCTTGGTGGTCCTACCACACTTTCCAAACACTGTTATGAGAGTGCTGTATGACTTCACTGACACCAGAAGGGAATTTGTAAAGTCCTCTACAAAATTAACTGTAAAATAACAAACTAAACCCCAACAGTTGCAATCAATAAATGTGACTGTTTATCACTTTATCAAACTCATTTCAATGCCATTTGCATAAGTGGAAGCTTTTTTTACTGCAAAGCAGCAAAGGTTTAGTGCAGCAGTGAACAAGGGCTGCATACAGAAAGAGCAAATAGCTTTGGAATAAGAACAGCAGGGGGGCAATTAATGCCAGCAGGAGGGATGCCTGGAAAATGTGAAAATCATTGCATGGTAGTTTTAATGTTTTGATTTTAAAAGAATAGTATCGGAGAGTCTCAGCTACTTCCTGCATGAAGAGATGCCTCCATGGGGCAGTCAGAGAGAAGGCAGATATTACAGTAAAGGACTTTTTGAAATAAATCTCCATTTCCCAAGGCTAAATCATTCCCTCTGCCAAGGGCTCATTGTGACACTGTGGCAGCCAAATGGAGAGGACTGAAGGTGATGAAGGGCTCTTGCATTTGAGCACTGAATGTCTCTGCTCAGTCCCCTGGCTGACAGCTGCTAGTGGAGAAGTAGGAGGCCTACACCAAGCCACTTGTGTCCTATGTCCCATTACCTGCTCCTGTGACCAGAGGCAGGACACACTGTGGAGTCACCAGGGTGGAATGCACATTCCTGATTTCCAGGTCCTGTGCCAAACTCCCCAACCAGGCTATAATTCTCAGGAGGTGACGTGATGGACAGAACCCAGCCTGAATTCCATGACCAACAGCCACCCTGTGCCCCTCTGCAGTGCTCCAACACCCATGGATCTCCCTCTCCACTTCCCCAGCATCCTCTCTCCTGGCGGAAACATCACAAGAGCAGCAGAGCAGCTGCTCCTGTGCAGCTTCACTCCTCCATCCGGTGCAGTTCATCCTGGGAACTGAAGCATCAGTGCAGTGACCAAGTCAAACACATCCCTAAATTCCATCCATGCCTGCTCATCTGCCACAGCTCAAGTCCTCCAGTGCAAATCACCTCAGACTCTCTGTCATTTGCCAATGGGATGAACAAGGAGAAGCACAGTCATCATGATAATGGGATTACACACTGTAGGCAGCACTTATTAACAGAGAAAGGCTGTCCATTTTTACTGGAGATTAAAAAGAAGCTTCTTATGCTCCAGACAGCAAGCCCATGTCCTTTAATAATGTCAGCAAAGATCTTAATTATTTCCCATTAAACCAAGGGATAACATGACATTTAAATCAATTTTGTTACTTCAGTAATCTCAGAATTTGCAGTCAGGCGAGGAATACTGTAACGCACCTTGAGATATGTGTCCTTTCTCACTAGCTGCATCAGGGAAGAGTACACTGCTGCCTACTACTTTGCCTCTGCAACAACAAAGGAAAAGTGCTGAGGCCACACACAATTTGCGTAGAAAAAAAATGAGCCAAGTAATTTCTCAGTTTTCATAAAGTCAAATATGCAAAGTTAGAGATTTTGTGCTTGTCAGCACAAACCGGACATGGAAGGCAAGGATGTGTTTTTCCCTGGAGCAGGCCAATTCTGTGACCCTACTGCGACTTTTCTGGTGACCCTTCACAACGAAAGATTTCCGTTCCTCCTTGGGATCTTTTTGCAGTGTGTTGGTCTCTCAGGTTCTTTTTCTTGAGTGCAGTTAGCAAGCAGACAAATCTATCCCCAAGGGGAATTCCCAAGTAGAAACTGGAACATGAATGGGAAAATTGAATTATGCACCCTCTGGTTTCTACAGAGCCAGTAGCCAGCTGTTATTCAGTTACTGCATAAGAGATGACACATGGACTCAGCACAGGATCACTACTTCCTAGCTTGTTCCTGAAGCAAGGAAGAAGGAAAAAGCCTCAGGGAAGAGCCAGTTAGGCGGATGGCACACACAATAAGGTAGTATCTCATGGTAAAGCCATAAAGGCAAAGCAAACAAAACCCTAACCCCATCTTAGCTTCATAGATAGCAACAGTAGACAGTGCCCAAAGTCCTGCTGGAAACAGTGGAATGCACCTTTATGAAAGTGTAGATGATCCAGGCACAAAGCAGAGAAGCCAGGGCTGTGCTGGGTCTGGGAAGGAGGAAGGACACGTATGAGGAAGGTGTGGGGAGGCTGCCCCTGTGCTGAGGATCTCCCAGTGCACAACAGGCACTGCAGATGTTCTAAAGGAGCAACTGCCACCATCCAGAGAAGCCAGGAACTGCTCTGATTTTCACCAGAGCTGCTTCTCTCTTGCACAAGAGCTGTGGTGAAGTTTCAACAGCTTATTTAGCAGACAGCTAAGTCCATCAGCCTTTTCCAATTTAAGTATAAACTTTCTGGTACAATATTCAAGAACAATAATGCTCAAACATACCTCAGAATTGTCATCTTCCAGTTCTTCTTAATAATAGCAGAATTCGACCCTTTACATAATAATCCTTTCCATATAATCTCATCTAGTTAACCTCCACCCTATCAAAAATTTTTAAATACATGTCTTCAATGAGATACAGCTTGGTAATTTTTTTTCTCACAATCTTTGTTTTCTTTTCTTTTTCAAAACTATGCATTTAAGAGCAGCTACTCCAAGTTGTGACACAGTAACTTTCTAATGGTAGGAGTAATTCTACATTATAGATGAGATGCTATAGACATCTTATGCTCCAGTCCCTTTAGAACCTGATGAAAAAAGCCAAAAATCTTCTCAGCCAGAGCCATCATATAAGTCTTTGGAAGAGAAAGCCAATCTTTTGGCTATAATAAAAAACTGCTATCCTTCAGAAAATAGGTTTATCAAATAAGATAGAAAGCAACTTAGAACTACAATGGATTCTGTTTCTTGACAAACCCTTCAATGAGTCTTTGGGGAAAAGAAGATTACTGGACTTTCTCATGGTTAAAAGAAGGAAAGGGGAAATCATCATTACCAGCTACCAGTAAAAATTATACAACACACTTGTTAAATAAAGTAGAAAACTTTCATGTTGCCTACATAGTAAAAATTTAGTAAGGGCAGCAGCCATCATAATCAATACTACACCATTAGCAGCAACTTTATGGGATGCTATTGCATGGCTTTAAATCCCTAAAGTAAAGACTACACAATTACTGCTGGAACTGACTATTTCAGTAATCGGAATAGGTTAATATTTGGTCCAAGTTGAAGACTTTCTATACCACAGCACCTTTAAGGGATATTGTGTAAAATATCATGGACATTAATGTCTTCTTTGGTTAATGAGCACATAAGGTCATCATCATCAAAAAAGCATGTAGTTGATACAGAATATATTTTGGGTTTGGTATTTACCAATTTACTACATTTCTACTCTTTGACCAACCAGAAAATAGCAATGCTCTTGATTTGGATAACCCTCAAGCAGATTATATGGATGCTTACTTTACCTAAATTTCTTGGTATTGTCAGTCAGGTAAAATAATGTAAAGTTAATGAGAAGACTGAAAAATAAGCAATGCCCTCCCTGGGGTATAAAATGAACCACTGTAAATAACTTGATCAGATTGCTCCTAGACATCTGCATTGTACATCCTCAAACATAAAAGGATTCATCTCATCCCCAGTGAAAAGCCTGAAATGTTGGAATCCAGGGGAACACTACATGTGTGATGACAAGAAATCATGACAGCCACGACTGAGCCTCAGACCTGCCTAAAAAAAGGCAGGAGGAAGAACCCCTCAGTTCATACCACATATCTATTTTTCTTTGTTTCTTTTTCTCAGTTTCATGCGTTTTTTTCTTTCTTTGTTTCCCTCTTCTCTCACCTCTGTATCTTACAGCTCCTTGTAACTTCATGGTGCTGGCAAGGTGATTTCTAATCTAGATTTTATTAACTTCTTTGCCTCTAAAGCTGCTATAAAACATTTCACTGACATACTGATGATGCATGTGAGCTCAGAACTGGCTGCACTTGTTCTTAAACAGAGGCATCACTGTCATTTCATTTTGTTGCATACATCCAGTGAATGAAAAGTGGCACATAATGTGCAATAATATTCAAGATAGAGAGTATTTTCAGTGTTTGTCTTCAGCAGGATGGAGAATGGGCTTCTTGTACATCAACACCTACATCTGGGTTCACTAAATCTCTCTCAACCAGAAGCAGGGGGAGGCAGAGGCTTCACAGACTGTGGCAGGACCAGACTGCCTGCACACACATTTTAGAAAGAGTCTGTAAACACTGCAGGAGCAGGTTATCTTAGGCCAGCTCTCAGTAAAAAGCCATTCTGGGACTAAAACAAAAGGGCCACAAGTGCAAGCATGCCAAGGGCTTCCTTGTCTTGTACAAAGGAAAAGCCATTTTCATCCCTTCAGGAGCTTCTGCCCCATTTCTGTGAAAGCCATGCAGTCACAGCACTGTGTGCCTCTG